AATTGAGGGGGAGCAACATATGGTATTAGTTGCAATGGGTGGTAATAATATGGGAAAGAAAAGTGATTCCAAGAAAGTTGATGAGAAGGACAAGTTGTTCCATACCCATTGCCGGCGTTCAAGACATACATGTGACACATGTTGGGAGCTCTATGGGAGGCCAAAGTCGACTGTAAAGAACCAAGAATAGGGTAAGGTGCAGGGTCAGAAGAAGCCTAATACAACACATAATGCAGCAAATGTGGCAACTCAAGATACTTAGTCTGCTAGGGTGTATTGGGTGTTTACAATGAAAGTGTGAAACACAAGGCGGACGGGACAATTGAAAGGTACAAAGCAAGGGTGGTAGCAAAAGGGTACACTCAAGTCTATGGTGTTGGCTATGATGAGATGTTTGCTCCAGTAGCTAAGATGAACTCAATTCAGGTTCTTCTTTCATTGGCTGCAAACTTTGATGGGAATTGCATCAATTGGATATAAAGAACGCCTTTTTAAATGGTGACCTGGTGGAGGTGTACACGGTTCAGTCCCCAAGTTTTTGTGCCAAAGGAAGTGAAAATAAGGTGTGCAAGCTAAGAAAGTCTTTCTGTGGTTTAAAACATCTCTTAGAGCATGGTTCAGTAAGTTTCATATGGCGGTCCAGCAAGTAGGATTCAAACAATGTTAGTCTGATCACACTCTCATTGTGAAGAGATGTCAGGAACAGGTTGTTGTGTTGATAGTGTATGTGGATGATATCATCATTACAAGAAACTGGACCTCAGAAATTCAAAGTTGAAGGCGTTCCTAGCCTCTCAATTCGAAGTAAAAGATTTGGGTCCACTAAAGTACTTTCTTGGAATTGAATTTGCTCACTTAAAAAGGGGCATCTTCAATTCTCAGAGGAAGTGCATCCTTGATCTGTTACAACTTACAAGACAAGTTAGGTGCAAAGCCAGCAGATACTCCTATGGATGTTGACCATAAACTGGGTGATTGTGATGGTGAACTTCTGAAAGATGTTAAACAATTTCAATAGGGATGCAAACAGATCGGATCGGATTCAAATTTGGGTATATTCGAATCTGATCCGACACTGTTCATGACAGATCCGATCCGATTGGATATGATAGGACTTGATTTGAATTCGAATCCTATCGGTAAGTCGGATCTTCAGATCTGATCCGATCCGATCCAACTTATTTTCTTTAAAAATAGATAAATTATTAAAAGAAAAATAAAATATACTAATTTAAATAAAGTAACAACAAAAAATACAAGTATTTTTTAATTATTTTCATCATATATATACATGTTTTTTATAAAAAAATAAATAATCTAACAAATTTATAAAAATATAATATAAAAAGTATATTTATAAATAAATAAATAACATATATATGTATTATATATATTTATATTTATAAATATATAATATATATCGGATCGGATAACGGGGTGATCCAAATCTGATCCGAAGATCCGAACAGGGGTGATATGAATTCGACCAAATAGGATCGAGTCTCGGATCGGATTGGATCATGACCCGACCCATTTGCATCCCTAAATTTCAAAGGTTAGTGGGAAGGTTGCTTTATTTGTCCATGACATGTCTAGACATTGCTTATTCAGTTGGGGTTCTGAGCTAATTCATGCATTCCCTTGAGAGACCACACATGGAAGTAGGGGTGTCCATGAAAAATTGAAAAACCGAACCGAGAAAACCTAACCAGAAAATGAGGTTAACTGAACTAACTGATTTAGTTTCGGTTTGGTATTTTTGAAAAACCAAAGGACCGGTTCGGTTTTCAGTTAACCTACAAAAAAACCGACAGTTAACTGAACTGACCGGTATATATATTTATATGTATATTATATATATATTTTTAATATATATCACATATTTTCTATATATTATATGTAAATATATATTCATTATATATATGTATATAAATATATACATATATTATATATCATTTATTATATGATATATATTTTTATAATATTTATAATATATTATATATCATTTATTATTTATAATATAATATTATACATATACTTATATAATATATATTATAAACAAAAAAAACCAAAGAGCCAAATTGGTAAAAAACCGAAACCAACGGACCGGTTAACCGGTGGTACCGGTTCGGTTTGTAAAAATTGCCCATTGTTCGGTTAACCGAACTGTGGACACCCCTACATGGAAGCAACAGAGAGGATTCTTAGGTATGTGAAGAAGTATCCATGAATAGGTTTGCTATTCAGTAAATATAATCATTTTAAGGTGGAGGTCTATATAGATGCTGATTGGGCAGGTGTTGTGGATGATGGAATGTCCACAAGTGGGTACTGCACATTTGTGGGAGGAGACCTAGTGACATGGAGAAATAAATAACAAAGTGTAGTTGCGAGGTCAAGTGCTGAAGCGGAATATAGGGTTATGGCACATGGGGTGGATGAAGTACTTTGGTTGAAGAATCTTCTAGGGGAGCTTGGGGTTACTGTTCACAATTCTATGTCCCTTTACTGTGACAATAAGGCAGCTATGAACATTGATAGCAACCTTGTCCTACACGATAGGACCAAGCACATTGAAGTGGACAAACACTTCATAAGGGAAAAATTGGAAAAGGGGGAAATCTGTACTCCTTATGTCAACTCCAAGGAGCAACGAGCTGATGTTCTCACAAAAGGGCTTCCATACTTGTAGCACAATGAGTTGTGACAAGTTGGGCATGATAGATATATTCAGCCCAACTAGAGAGGGGAGTGTTGTTAGAGTTGTTCTTTGTTTCTGATGTTAGGGCGCTGTCAGCATGTTCTTTTCTTGCTTTAATTATTTTATTATTAGGGTGTGCCGCTAGGGGCATGTTTGTAATTTTCTTTTCTTTTAATTACTTCATGCTATTATAAATAAGAAGCTGGGTGCCGCCAGCCAAGACTTTTGACTCTCAAACAGATTTCTTTCTCTTTTCTTCTCTTCTCTTCCCTCTTCTTTCCTCTCCTCTCTCTTCCCTTTCTCTCCTAGAAAGAAAACAGGGATGACAGGTGGTTGTTAGTCATACACTAGAAGGCAAGTAGCAGCAAGGATTTTGCTTCCTCCCTCTTAATGATTCATCAAATTAAAATTTTGATGGCTGTTACATTTAAACATTAATTGATTTTCAGTTGTTCCACTGGATAGTGAGGCCCTTGTGGGGTTGGTAGTGTCTAAAGTTGCAGAAATAGGAGGTTATTCTTATTATTGTTGTTGGCTTTCTTTCTCCCCTTAAATCCATTGATCTTGAAGAGGGACTCTGTCAGAGCTGAGGAATCAGCAATACTGCAGGGGTCGAGGTCGGTTGTTGATATTTGCTTTGAGGTATGAGGCTATGATCAGGTTAAGGTGGAGAGAGACTTGCAGGTATTGATCGAGTGGATATGTAGGGAACATCAGGTTGAGGACTTTTATTCAGGAGCAATGATCATATGAAAGTTGAGGTTTATATAGATGCGGATTGGGCTGGATCTATTGTTGATAGAAGGTCCACATCATGATACTGCTCATTCCATTGATCAAAAGACAAAATGATACTGCTCTTTTGTTAGTGGAACGTAGTTACATAGAGTATAAGGCTGTGGTCCTAGGTACTTGTGAATTAATCCCTTTGATGGTAACTTGAAAATTGTATTAACTTGTGAACTAAAAAATAGAGTATGTATAAAGATAGTTGCTCCAAAATGCGCCCTACAGAAACAATATACAACATTTTCCTCTAGTGGTCCTCCAAAATGGGTTGAATGGGTCAACCCATGATGTCATTATATTCTGCATATATATAATTGAGATTTGAGGCCAAAAAGATGTATTTGTTGCAAAATTACTGGGCCAAGGTGCCTCGAATTGCACAGATCACGAAAAATTACCCAAAATAAAAAAACCTTGATCTGATCACTGAGCAAAAAGTTGTGTCCTTCAGAAGTTTCTGCACCTCTTCCCTTTTTTTTTCTTTCTTTTTTTTCATGTTTGTGTGTGTGGATAGGCTAGGCCTCCATTTTTTTCATTTTCACCATCTATAATGCAAAAAGGCACCCCAAAACCAGTGGTTATAATAAAAAATTTAAACCTAAAAGGCTAAAAGTAAAAAAATATAATGTAATTTGTAACTCGTTACCTGTTGTCAAGTGGGTTGATGGTTCAAACCCGACCCAAGTCAATGGTTTTTGACTGATTACTGGGTTTGGGGTTAACCCGACCCAGACTTATTGCTGCATGACGGTTTGAAGGGTTTAACTGCCCAGGTCAATGAGGGGTTGAAAACACTGATCATTAGTAGACCTAGTCAATTCAACTGAGTGGTCAGTTGACTAATTGATGCTTTGATGATAGTGACTTAAGCATACATAAAATATGTATAGTTTGATTATTTGTTACTTTGATTGTTACTAATTCTGAGCTTCATAGAAAAGATAACCTAATTAGTGTTGTACTGATGATTAACTTCATTTGCTCGTGTTTCCACTTCATATTTTTATAATTCTATAGATTTGATCTGTTTTTTATCAGGAGCTTAAACTTTTATTGTTTGTAATAATATGTTATAAAAGAAGTAGAATGATTTATTATATGAATTTATACAATGAAATACCTCCTAACTTGGTAGATCAAAACTATCTAGCATGCCCAACAACCACCACACACACTTATTCCCCCAAGAGGGCAGAACCCCAAAATAGTTGCTTTCTGTGAACACCTTGCCCGGTTAGAGCATCTGCTAGGCTGTTTGCAGACCACTTCACCCCCTTAAAGTTTCCTGTCAAATTCCTTATCAATTGTTTAACTATTATCAAAGTTCAGATCTGAACTGTTGAAGTATTAGATTGTAAGTAACTGTTTGTTCTTTGTACTGTGGTTCTTCTATACTTGTTTATTTCATATAATTGCAAGACTATATTAGATTAAGAAAAAGAATTTTTCAGATTTTAGGGAAATTTTGAACGGGAAAATTTCATATTCTAAACAGCATTTCCCCCTGAAGTTTGTTGAGACAGGTGAGCCCATTCTGTTGGAATATGCAATTCTAGAGATGCAGAAAGTTTTATCAATTCAGGATGATAATGCAATGGAAGGGGCATATATGAATAGCCTGATCTGCTCAATTGGAATCAATGGCTGTAAAATGAATATAAGTTTGGTCGATGCTATTTTTATGTCAACGAGCATTTGGTGTGACAGTAAACTGCAAGATTATCATTTGCATTTTGCTCAGGTCAGTTCTTCTTCTTCATCCATCTTGCTTTAATATTTTCCCACTATTAACCCCATTTTGTCTTATGGTTCCTCTTTTTTTTCCCAATTTATATCCTTCTTTATTCTTTAAGTCTATTGGTTAATACATCCTGGGAGTCTTTCCTTAATACCTTGAGATGAGATCATTGCCTTGGGTGCTCAAAGAAACTTCCATCACATATGTTATGCAAATACTTGTTGTATACTTGTATGTTATCTACTAAGTTTATAGGTTAATAAATCTTGCTTCACTGCCCTATGGTGAGATAGTAACTTTGGTTCTTAAAGAAACCTCACATTGCTATTTAGGCAATTCATTTAAAATTATTTGGTTTTCTTGTACAATTTGCTTCAGTCTGTTAAATTTCTTTGTTAAATTCTTTTGCTCTTTAACTTGTACATTTTTTTTCCCAGAATCCCACTCTCTTTGGAAGTGTTGTGACCTTAGTAACAGTAGTTGGGATCCTCAGTGCTGATGAATATGGTGAATTCAAGGTTAGTAGGATATCTACCATAGGTAATGGGTACTCAACTCAGAAAAACTTTGTCCTAACTATATGGATTTGGAAGGTATTGTGATACTGTAACATAAATAATCTCTGTCCTTGTTTCAATTTTTTTTCTTTGTAACTTCAGTGCTTGTTTTTTGAAACTTCAATGTCTTATTCCTTAGTAGACTTCTTTTCTTAATACTCCATTTGGTTGCACTTGAAATGAATGAAAACAAACCATTTCTAGAATTGCTATTTTATGCATTTGGTTGCAATGTGAAATGGCTCTGAGGAAGATGAACATTATTTAAATAGTGAATGGAAGTTGGCCTTCTGGACTCAAAACTTGTGGTGACGGTATATATCTCAACCATTCAGTTTTTTCCCTAAGTCGAGATAAAAACCAAGAAAATCAAGAAAATGATTCATTTTCCTATTGAATATCATTTATGAAGAAAATCATTTGTTTTTTAATTCATTTTACATGCAACCAGATTTTGTCTTAGTGGAGTTTATATTTCTTATTCTTGCCAATCTTATAGACAGTTCATTAAGACACTGAAGCTTAGTGAAGTTGTTTATTAAGTGTAAATAGTTTTTATATAGTGATAGTGTACAGGCATAGATTCTGCTGAAATCAGGCCTCTGGTCAGATACATTACGAAATATGGTTATACTGATGGGAAGTGAAAATAGAGCTTAATGGTTGGACAGTATTTTTGTAGCTAACCTCAAATGGTTTGAATTAAGGCTGAGTTGGGTTGAGAGTATGAGAAGCGAAAAAAGAAAATGGAAGAGTTTCAGATTTGAAACACTTAGAAGAAGTTAGTAATTTAGAGTTTCATTGATGAAATGTCTAAATAGCAATTGGAAAAGAGATGCAATTGCATGTGTACATGCAATGGAGAATAATTTCATCTTGAAGGAGAAATTTATGAAATTGGGTAATTTTGTAGTTTTTTACAATAGGGTTATTTTTTGTCTTTTGTTCACCTCATTAGGAGTAGTTTAGTCTTTTGAGTTGATTGGGTATCCCAACAAATAAAATAAAGAAGAGACGTTGATGGCTATTCAGTTTTTGCTATTCTCTTCACATCATGAACTGTTTTCTCTTGTCTTTATCTGTTATTCCTTCTATGTTCTCTTTTAATTTTTTGATCAGCAAAAAAGATTTCATTAAATATTAAAGATTAAAACTTGGTACAACTATTGGACCTGGTAACAAGAGTTTACAAGTTTGCCCAGAATAGATTAGGTCTGTCAATTCCTTGTTTACCTAGAACATCTTCCCCCCATTTGCTACTCTTCTCACCCAGATGAAATTTGAATTCAATTGCTTTGCAATGACATCAATTTCCCTAAAAGTATGCCTATATTTCCAAGGTGCTGATTGAGTTGCTTTGCCCATTGAATTACTAGTTGTGAGTCACCTTCAAGTCCCTTGTCTTTGAGGCCAAGCTGTCATGCTAATCTCAATCATTCATTTTAGCTACTGGGGCAAAAGTCTCCTGATAATCTACTCCATAAGTCTGTGTATATCCCTTGGCTACCAGTCGTGCTTTGTACMTTTCTAATGACCCATAAGATTTGTACTTAATTGCGAACACCCATTTACATCCTACAACCTTCTTGTTTCTCGGTAGATCCACAACTTCCCATGTGTTGTTCTTTTCTAGTGCCTCCATTTCCATTCTCATGGCTTTTCTCCACTCCTTATTAGAAAGTGCCTCGACTAGAGTATTAGGAATTGGAATGGTGTTAAGGCTGGCTAGAAAACTTTTATGGGGTTCAGAGAATCTTTGGAATGACACAGATTTGGCTAAAGGGTACAATGGGCGTTTGGTACATTCTCTGGTTCCTTTTCTCAGKGCAATAGGTAGGTCATACTCATACTCAGACTGTGAAGGTACAGGTTCAGGTTCTGAACATCCCTCAGTTCTAGGATTAGGAGTTGAATCTTAGACTTGCACAAGTTGAGGATCTGGATTTCTTCTCCTAGACTTGCACAAGTTGAATCTTAGACTTGCAGTAGTCCACCTAGTAAAGGGGCAGTAGCAAAATACTGTTAAAAAAAATAAAATAGGTCCATGGCTCAATGACAATAAGTTCATAAACTAA